GCCGCCAGGGGGTGGGGGGGGGGCGGCCTGCGGGTGGCCCCTGGAGACTGGCCCGCAGCGCCTCCTGGCCGGGTGGCTTAGGTATGGCCCTGTGCAAGACCGAGTGTGCAGTCCTTCCACTTTATTGTGAATCTGGTCAAAACTAGTGGTTCCAAACTGGGGGCCCCCAGGCCACTCTCTCTCTCTCTCTCTCTCTCTCTCTCTCTCTCTCTCTGTCCTCTCTGCCCCTCCGTCCCCCCCTCCCCGTGTTTGTGTGTGCACGTGTGCCCTCTATGTCGCTCTGTCTGTCTTGTCCTGACTCCCAGACCTTGCTAAATGATGCAAGGTTCTTGAGGGTGTTTGCTGGTGACAGGCTTATGGGTAGATGTCTTTTTTTTTTTTCTGCACTTGCTGGAAAGGAGAGAAATACTATAACCGCTTTTTTTTTGGGGGGGGGGAGTATCTGACACTAAAAATAATTGGTTTCCCTCATTTGCTGCATCGGTACAACAATTTACAAAACAAACAAACCCAATACTTTTCAATGACATCCCTCAAAGGGAATGGGCAGAGTAAATACACATAGAGGACAGACTGATACTTAGAAGTAAAACTTCTTGGCTTGGGATGTAGGTCAGTGGTAGAGTGTTTATCTGGCTTGTATAAGACCTTGGGTTCTAGACACACCACTGCAAAAAGAAAACAAAATAGAAACACAAAACTTCCTGGAAGAGAATTGGCACATCACTTTCTTTCTGTGTCTCAATCCTCACCTCCCACAAAGCACCCCGGAGTCAAAAATCACACCTTTACTAGTTCTCTTACAGTCATACATTGGAACCAGGCCCCAAGTATTGATAAGCTACAAGACATATATGGCAATTAAAAAGTGCTTGGTTTCTCGTCTCTTTTCTTACAGCCTGGTTTTCATATTCTAAATACAAACATAAGGTCAACTTATTTTTTGCCTATCTTTGTAAAAAACGTCCTTCACATTACAGAAAGTATGTCAGCGTAGAGAATATTTCTGAGTTGATAGTATAATAATATACAAAATAATAAAGATAAATTACGTTTCTTTTGTAAGCATGTGAATTTTTCCTCAGTGCTATCATAAGTCATTAAAGTAGGTAGGGGTATTTTTTTGAAAATGTGATGCACAGAGTTAATTATTGTCTATTCGAGAACACATTGAATCAGAGGGGCCAGAGAAGAAAATTTCCAACCAGTATAATGCCCATACCCTTTTTAGAGGAAAATTTGCTGCCATAGAATAATTCATGTGTCTCCTTGTAAAACTCACTGGGCTGGTGACTTGGAGATCTGTGATGTGTGTTTCCCTGTAGATGACTACTTGAAATCCAGCCCCTTATGAGTATTTCTATTAGTCTAAAGGCAAACCTGTAATGGGCCCTGAATGCATCTTGATTTGGAACATACTGGGTTTTGTGGGAGACAGCTTTAGTCTGGAATTGGAAAAGGGTGATGAGGGCTTGTTAGTTTTCCACCTCTGCTCATGGAAGCCCCAATGCAAACACTATTAATAATGAATGAAACTTAGCACCTCAGCTGTGTGCTATTTTACCCTGTTTGGAGAGGAGCTGGAATATTTTTACATTTAATTTTTTTTTCTTTTTAGACTTTGTTTTTCCACCTCATAAGCTAGGATGCTTATGTCTGAATTGTAGTGATTGAAAATGGTTAGAGCTGCGCTTTTTCTTTCAAATTAGTTTTAGTTTCTAAAATAATTAAATGGACATTTCTTTAAACCCTTAAATTCGGAACTTTCTGGATTTTTTTAGGAAATAACAAAACACACGTTGCTTTGGCATTTCTAAAACATTCAAGTATAAATACATCTTTATGTATAATCTAGACATTAAATAAATAATGGGACTACAATGTTCCTCTGGTCAGTTATTCCGGCATCAATTTTAAAAGATCATTCTTATTACTTATTTGATTTAGTTGCACTGGGAGAGTGCCTGCACCAAAAAACAAAAACAAAAAAAAATTGGCCTTTACACATGCAAATGAAACATCTTGAATACCAAAGTTACAGCAGGGTTTGTGTCTTAGTAATAGTTAATAGATACATGGTGCTCTATGCCAAGTGCTGTTCCGAGTGTTTCTCTAACACAGAGTTAATCTTCGAAGCAAGCTTATTTATTGCACCTGTACTCTGCATATTAAAAAGGTAGGAGGCTAGCTGGTCCTTGGTTCTCAACTTTCCAAGTAGCTGGTTTTAGATTTGATTCAGTTCCTGAAGTCTTTAACTGTCCATAGTAAGTGAGCCACCTGCACAATTTCAGATTCCGTGAATTGGAATTTTCTGTGTATTTATTCGCTGTCATTTTTATCAGAAACTATAATCTGGATCATGTTTCTGTTGTTGCTGGGGGTGGGGGGAGGTAGCCAGCCAAATTCTCTTCTGGTAGAGACCTTAGTTGCAATGCAATTCAAAAACCAGGCAGTAACATTTGCTTGATCTCATTTCTTTTTCCTTAAAAAGAAAACTATGTTTTAAATGAACACATGCCTCAATCAGTTATTTGTAAATAGTGTGTGACCTCAATTAAAGTAGTTTCCTATAGCTAGTAGGGCCAGGCAGTACATTTTAAAAATATAAGAAGTCAGAAAGTTAACGTCCCAGAAATAAAATGACTTTCACAGGCAGCTCTCTGGCTACATTGCATTCTGCCCTTCATGAACTGTAAAAAAGTAGCGTGTTTGTGTTTATTGTTGGCAGTTATGGAGCATCACATTTGTTTTCTTTTTTCTTTTGGGTTTTTGAGACATGGTTTCTCTGTCGAGTCCTAGTTGTACTGAAACTAGCTTTTGTAGACCAGGCTGGCTTCGAATGTACAGAAATCCACCTGCCTCTGCCTCCTGAGTGCTGGGATTAAAGGCGTGTGCCACCATCACGTGGCTCAAATTTGTTTTCTAAAGGAAAGAGGAAAAGAGAAGTTTGAAGTCCTATTTTGCTTTGATCTGTTTTGGAAGGAAAAAATACAAAACCCTCTCTAGACTTGTAAGCTGACCCTGACAGAAAGAATGTCACCTTCCTCACAGTCACCTGGACCCACAACTCCCTCTCATTCTGCACTCCCAAAGGGTCTGATTTCCTCTCTCATCCATGTCATGCAGTCATGCACGTAGTGTAGTTTTCAGAATGACAATTAACATTCGTCCTCTATGGCACACACACCTTTCTCAAGAGAGGTTTTTGACTCGGGTTTCCCCTTGCACTTGTCTCTTTAACATGCAAATTGACAATACTAACTTGAGGCTTGCATCCTGTTTTCTAAAATGACTCAAATGAATGAGACATTCCTAGCAAAGTGTTAGAAAATGATATGGCAACGAACCTGGTTATGACTTGGTTTATGGTGCATTGATAAATTTTGGGACATGTTTAAATTATTTAGGCTAGATAACTCCGGAGAACAAACAATTCTACTTTACCCAGTTTCATTTCCCTTTTTGAGGAAGCTGTGATTTCAGACACTAGTCTGTGATGGTCCACATTCAAATATTTTGAGCCTTGTATTGATTTATTTTTATGGATAAGCATAACTCATGAGGTGATTTAGATGTTTGAACACTTTAAAAGTAACAGTAGCCTGCTTTTCACACTTTCTTGTTTGTGTTTTAAATCTACAGTGTGTCATTTCTGTGGCTTTGAGGACACACAGTAGTTAGGTATGAAGTCCATCCAGGTATCTATTAACAGATGAATACATAGATGAGGAAGAGACAAAGGTGCTGCACCCCCCCTTTGAGGACCTACAGAGTGACTAGGCCAGGCTCTGAGTCTTGAAGGTCCCACTACCACCTAACTACAACACTGTAACTGAACCTTTAACGCATGCACCTTTAAAAGTCAAGACAGCCACTACAGTGACATTTTTCTTTTCTCTTTCTCTTCCTTCCTTCCATCCTTCCTTCCTACCTTCCTTCCTTCCTTCCTTCCTTCCTTCCTTCCTTTCTTTCTTTCTTTCTTTCTTTCTTTTTGTGTTTTTTTCGAGGCAGGGTTTCTCTGTGGCTTTGGAGGCTGTCCTGGAACAGGCTCGTGTAAACCAGGCTGGTCTCAAACTCAGAGATCCCCCTGCCTCTGCCTTCCGAGTACTGGG